ACAGAATACCTACCAGTTCTCAACGGAAAGAGATTATGAGATAAGAGCATCTCTCCCAGGAGGATTCAAAAGCGTTATAGCTTTCAACCTCCGTATTGTCATGGGGTCGTGAGATTGACGAAGGCAGCAGCCTCTGTTTTCATGAGTGAACCTTATTTGGGCGAACCTGTGCCCAGAAAACAAAACGTCACTCTACAAGCAATACAAGCTGTAGACTGATAGCTGCAAACTAGAGCGTTGGCCATCGATAATCTGCCAAGCAGCAAAGTGCGTCGGCATTTATATATGTGCAATCGAAGATTCCCGCGTTATCGCTAGCGACTGCCTAAGTTCCAGAACAAACCCTAATGTACGCGTTGTGCGGGTAATCTCATCGGAAGATTGTAAGATTATCTATATTGTTCCCAGCCATTCGGGAGCGGATTGCGCAAGGCAGTGTTACAGGCGTAATGGTGCGGTAGCAGAAATAGAAAGCGCGTGCGGCATTACCATTACAAATTCTTGCTATTACCTTCATCTCTTCACCAACGAAATTGATTTTTTTTCCAGTTTATATAGTTTGGCTAACAGCTTTGCTGTTAAAACATATATAGAGTCGCATAATGAGGTATCTATACAAACACCACCTTAACAAGATTCATGCATGAACCAAAACTAAAATACGCCACCGAACTAATTTGATATGGACGTGGTTGTGCCCTTTGTGTAGCCCACACCTATTGTTCGGTTGATGATAAAACTTGACTAGATTTGGCGTTGCAAACGCAAATTGCCGTTTAGGCGCAGAATGGCACGAATGGCCCAGCACTTCCACCCCTGACATGGACTACTAAGTGAAAGATTAGTTTCGATACATGAACAAAAATTGAAGTTATGGCTAAGACATTTACAGAAACTTTACTCCGGTTTTCAGTGTTCTACGCACTTCAATGTGATGAAAGAAATCCATAAACAAAGGTTCTGTGCTCGAGCAGTCCTTTTCACAAGTCTTCTTGAATGCTGGAACTAATTTCCTTAGCTCTAGTGTGAACATGTTTCATACCCTCTTCTAATCGAAAGAAAGAAGAAGTAGGGGGCAACTGCAAAAGCCAGGGTGGGAAAGAGGCCACTGTGACGAATAGTGCGAGTCTAAAAGGAAAGAGGTATTTAACAGAAAAAAAAAAAATGTGGATGAAAGGATGGGGTACATGTTTACTGAATTATAGTTTTCAAGAGGAAGCACCACTTAACAATGGTAGATAAGAACTCCTTAGGCGGGCTTAACTCTCATTGGTTTTAGTTGTGTATGCACCATACTGGATGGGTTCAAGAGCTCCCTTATAAATGTTTACACCTGCTCGCTGGATATATTGAGCATATGAATAAGGTATGACTGTATATTTTCAGTCTCTTGAGGATTGAAAATTCGACTGAAGGATATAAAGTTTGAGACTATCAAAATTGTGACCTGCTACATTAATATGCTGTGCCACTGCTGCCAGTAATTTCATCGGCGTGTCCACACGATGCCTGTTTAATCGAACATAACAGGCTGTAACATTTGGCCAATGTACCATTCGTCACCATAAGAAGAGTCGATCATGCAGATAACAATAACGACCATGTATGTAGAAAAAGAAGTGCTTTAATAAAAAATGGGGAGCTCATAAAGAAAAGAAGACGATGAGTTTCGAATGGGCCCTTTTGTGTCTGCGTCAGTCTTTTTACATCAATAATGTAGATAATGTAGGTACGCGTGTAGTACTCTAAAAACCAGATAGAAATTTCTAACAATAAAAACATTTGGGATTTTACGTCTCAAAACTACGACACGATTATGAGAGACTCCTTAGTGAAAGGCACCAGAAATTTCGACCATCTGGTGTTTTCTAAATGCACTGACATCGCACAGCACACAGGCCTCAACCATTGTGCCTCGACCAAAATGCAACTGCTGCAGCTGGGATCGAACCCGCAACCTTTAGGTCAGCCACAGAGCACCGTAACCTTCGATCCACAGGGGCAGACAGAATAAAATTTCTGTAAATATATAAGCCATAACTTCAATTTTTGTTCCTTGTGTACCAAAACTAACATTTCACTGTAAGAGTCCTAATACTTTTTATTGTGCAGTAGTTAAACGGAACCTGAAGAGTTCCTTAGTATTCTACAGTATGTGCCGAAATCTAAGTCCACAGCTCTGTTTTGTTGCTAATGAGACATGGCCAACACAGCAGAAAAACAAACCAGCAGCCTCATGCTCAAGTAGCATTCCGTAGATGCCGGGCATATTACGATATTCTTTTTACAGTGTCATTTGATACAATTTACATGGAAACATTCCCAGCTGAGCAGTTAAAAGCAATGCACATTACTGCAATAAAGGTCCTTTGATACATCTATTTAGTCAATAGTCTTATAAAAATTTTGCATCGCACAAGCACGCTCAATAAACCAATTTTGTGTAATGGCTGTAACAGACAAGGGAGGGCACTTCTTTATATCTGAGCAAGTAAAGCTGCTTCACAAGAAATTATACACAATAATAAGTGTTCAAAACAAAGCATTTCACAAAACTTTTTAGGCTTTGCCAACGATTTCGTCTTGATTGCCCGCATTCTTCTCTATACCTACACCAAGTAGCTTTTCTAGGCTATCGGTATATGTGTAATGATCCATAACATGTGTCCACAGATCAAGTTTAATTCCTTTAGGCCTCAGATGCAGCAATAAACTGGGTGAATAAGAGTCAACCTTACAGCTGTCTTCTGAATTTTACTGCATATAAGAGCATCAAATCAAAAGAAAGAAATACTGGTTTGGCTTTGGCTCAAAGCACTCCATTTACATTCTGTAGAAATAGATATCTTTATAGGTTTACACACCAGTTCAGCACTGTAAATATTTTCCCCATGTCATACTTTCTTATTAACTTAAATCTGCTAAACTGAAACTCTCTAGCCAGTTAAGCTGAAGAGACTGGACTTGAAAAATCATGTGCTTTGCAATATATGTGTTTTATCTGATGGTGGGAGATATGAGCTCATTGAGAGATGGGATATAGTGATCATCAATCTATGTTTTCCCATAAATATGAGTGAAATTTTGTAAAAATATCTATGGCTAGCATATTAACGAACACAAGCCATCTAAAGCACCATTTTCCACGTAAAAAATATGCAGCCCAACAGAATATGTGGTCTATCCTAAAGCTCTCTCTTTGCAATGATTCTTTCTACTGCTAATAATATTGACATTGGTTAGAACAGTTTATAGATGTTTCGAAAGTGCAAATTTTGAGCCAAAGAGGGCTACAAAAAAATGATCATCGAATATGAATTGAAACGAAATAAGAATGTTCAGCAACAAAACTATTACAGAATGTCATACAGGTACACTACATGTGACATGCCAGGATTATATTTGAAGCATAATTACACTAATATTAATGATAGAGAAAGGTAGTATGCGATACATGCACATCTGTTGATGAACCGTGCTCGTCAAGTTGAAGGCTACCACACATTGAATAAATTAAAAAAAAAGTGTGCTTGCTAACATTGGCGAAATGATAAATTTTTTTGTCTTAACAGAAACAACAAAAGGATAGACTGCATAAAGGTGAGACATGTATCATCAACAGTTGGCAACTATTTTGCATAAGCACTTAGGTGAGTTTGTTCAGGAACCCATTCAGCTGCACAACAGTGATGCACTAGAATAATGTAGATGGCTCTGTTTGAATCATTGTCTCAGTGCTACAACTTAAACAGTCGCTGTTTTTTATATACATTGCACAGCTTTGTTCCATACCACTGACCAACGTTATTATTTTTTAGTTGCAGTTTGATACTGGCTGAGAATTCAAAATTTGGTTTTACACCCTGCTGCTTACACCTCTTGTAACATCTAATGGTGCCTTCATGCTTGTGACAGCTGCATTATCTCATAACTTCTGAACAGTTGTGTGTATGCCTAGCATACTCACGGTATAATGAAAGTTAAGAGAACTAGACATGGAGCCTGTTTACAAATGAGAAGAAAGAAAGGAGGGACAGAAAGAGAGTCAAGCGATCAAATGCACATAGTTCTGTGCATGAGTAAAAAGGTAATTTATTTTTGTAATTGTTTTTGGCACTCTTTCGATCCCTCTTTATTGTCTCGTTTATAGCCTTGCACCACATATTTCAAGTAGCTATGCACCAACTACCCAACACGGCTTGTTGTAAAGATAACTGCATGAAAAAAATTCTCTTTTATAGCATTTCAATATCCTGTTCGCAAAAGTGTTGCTTCCCACGTTTAAACACGTGCACTAGATTCATGTTTAGTAGAAAAGAGCAGTTGGAAAGTACACCTGATATTCAGAAAGCAAAGCATCTTCAAACCGAAGAAGCCAAAGTACCTAAACACACATTTTTTAATTGAATCAAAAATATGGTCAAACTGCAAGTTTAAACAGGGCATGGAATATACACTGTAAATAATGTTTCCTTGAAAATTTACATACGTGGCCCATATCGCAGTGTGTCGACAGCCTTTCACTCTGGCGATGAAGCCCGCTTGGCTTCGATTCAGCCATGCTCAACAACACTTTATGCGTCAGTCACGCTCGATTAGTTACGTCTGATGCATATAAACTACTTGACAAGAACTATTAGCCGGTTGAGTGAAACGTTAGTTGTAGAACTAGAAAAAATTTATATAAAGTGGTTTTGTTCATTCTAGGACCTTCATTCTACGTACATGCCAATTTGAACACTGGAATGACAACGGCTAACTTCCTTACTACAGAGCGATTTCAGCTTCGACAGAAGGCGCTTGTTATAATGCATGCGTGATCCACTGCACAGCACGAGCAGTGCGCGCTTTGCTTAGGGCAAAATGCTCAATGAAGTGCTTTCGTTCTTGTTACCCCCATAATCATACGAATATAAATACTCATTAATCAACGAAGCAAGGAAGCCAAACCACGAAGTACAACCGATCTGCCTTCTCTGCTCAACTGAGTCTTTTCTCACCTGACATTGCTTGTTGCAAAAGGAGACGTATCTGCACGCAGAACACCGCTTCAGGCTCGGGGATCTTCCAATAAAAAAGAAAAAAAATGCGATGTAACAAACGCGTACGCTGGCGGGATTAACGGAAAGCCTTACTCCAAAAAGCAGTAGTCGCACATAAGGCCGCGGCCTTCTTTGCCCAAGACGTAGACGAATGGCGTTGAGGACAAAATCTCGTCCCCTGCTTTGTAGGTCAACATTTCGACCTGCAACAAGGTAGGCTAGATGAAACAATCGAAATAGGCACCTCTACGTATTACCGCGATTGCGAAAGACGCCCGGAGAAGGTACCGCAGGTATTCTCTGGCACCACCGAGCACGTTGTCAAACGTCAACCCAACTTGGGAAGCGTTGGCGTTGGTCGAACACGCGCCTTGCTCACAGACCTTGCTCAGCTGCTGCAATACCGAACCGAAACCATAACTGATGCCAATTGTTGACAAGTGATCTTGAAATTCTGACAAAATCTGCACGCAAAAAGTAAAAACAACAGAATACGTTTTTAATGTATATTGCGTTTATTTGACAATAATTTATGGTATGCTTAAAATTGATTTGGTTTTCAGTCGACTTTGCCGTCGCGCAAAGGCTATCAAAAGTGCCAGCCAAGTTCTCTCCAAAACAAAACTTGGCATCTTAATGTCCTACCGCATTAACTTTTGTATTGCCAGGTTTGACGAAAAGTACCGAAAGCCCTTGATTTGCGCTTGCGTAGAGGATATGAGGGTATCGCTTTTATGATATGTGATAAGTGAGCGCAAGCGGCGTTGTCGCTAGCAACGATTAGTAATGACTGCGCTTCTCAGTCACTTCGAAGACTTCTACTTCACCAGTCAGTACTGGGATTACTGGGACGTTCTAGTGCATTCTTCATTCACGACGGTCATGGCTAATGTTTTCGAGCATCACCTGGTAAGCGCGTTGACACCTAAAGAGCCGAAGGATGACGATTCTGATACTGTGTGTTCGTCATACTTCGCACTGCAACTGTATGTCTTGGGCCGTTGCGCTGTTTTGATTCCGTTCCTGGTTGTTTCTTTTCCCGTCTCTGTTTTCTAGGTGACAATATGCACAGTGGTCCTTTTGATCGTTGCTGTCGTACTAGGAATAATTCTTTTTTATAGGAAAATAAAGAACAAAGGTGCGTACTTTTGATGCAACATTGCATAGCACATTGCCTAATGTTGCTGGGAACTGAACGTAGCTGTTTTTGACCTTCCTGTCGTATGAGTAACGCTAGTTAATGTTTGTTTCATCCTGCAGTGGACGTTGTGCGGGCGCGAATGCTCGGTACTTCGAGGCCCCGCTTTCGTAAGAGAGACAAGGTGCTGTTTTACGGGCGCAAAATGTTGAGAAAGGTAATTTCTCTGCACCAGCATCATAATCCGTTAATCCGGGTTTCTCGTGGATTGCTCGTGATTTATGCGCCTTACAAGAAGTTTAGAAATGTTTTTTGTGTACCTCAGGTGAACTTCCTTACAAATCAAGCTACGAGTGGGAGGACGCGGCAAAAAAACAGACAAATGGTCCTGCGCTTTGCGAAAAGGTAGGAACATGCCCACAAGCAGGGGAACGTTATTGACGTTGTTCCAACTGGTCGGATGCTTCAACATATTAATAGATTCATATGTGTGTGCAGAACGAGTGTGAACTCTTCTAAAAAAAACAGCTGTTGTGACATGTGCTATCCGAAATACTTTGTGTCAATGTAGTGCTCCTGCAGTATGCCGTACTACCTGTGTGAGCTCTGCACAATTTTTTAAATGGTGCACGATGTGCTGTGGTCTGGGTTTAGTGCATGGTTGGGGCCCCCTGCAATGAGTGATAATGTTTTACTGAGGCACCACGTTATCCAATGGCAGAAAGGATGATTCAGACGTATTCATGGGGCCTTAATTACTGAAACTGGAAAGGTATACATCAGACTCAAACGTAGGAGTGACACCAAAAATTAGTTCGTTTTATTTTTTATCATTTTGTTGCCTTGGTTTATCTTTGATTGCTTCCTGAATTTAATACAACTTCTCCTCTTGTTTATGACTTTAAAGACGTTTTGGTGGGCAACTTATTTCTTTGCAGATTAAGCCAGGGTGTCTGAATGAAACGTTTTTGTTTTGGTTTTAGTTTAGCTCCACAGAAGTTTTATTCTGTGTCTGTTCCAGAACGAAAAAAGAAAAGTTCATAATGGTTGCTATTCACATGCAAATAATTTAAAATTCAAGTAACGATGAGAAAAGAGTGTTATCTCCCTTATGTTAATTAGGAATTATTTTCCGAGCAGGCTGAATGCTTTGTGTCAAGGGAGTGATCATGATCTATGAAGCAGCACGCCATGAGTGATATGCGAGAGTGCTGTTTTGATAAAACAAACTTGGCGATCAGAATGCTCACTTCCAGCTGGCCTGTGTGGCTTGCACTCCAAAGAACACTTGCATTATTATACGTAGCTCCAGTTACCGCTTTTTTCCTTCTTCCCCGAATTTCAACGCATCTTTAATTTGGAGTCCATGCCTGAGATATGTGTTAAATGAGTACTGACATGATTTTGAGGCCTCTAAGTGGTTCTAAGTGGGAAAGAAAAAGAAAAGTGAGCCCCATAACTGTCTGCTTCAGCGAGCGACACCTCAACAGTAGCTCACAAGGGATGGGGGTGAGGGTTGGAATAAAGGTATAGAGAAAGAGGCATGAGGTGGTAAGCGTGAGAGCGACGACATATCAAGGGGATAGGAGAGATAGGAAAGATGGAAACACGGTAACAGGAGTCCGAGGACGGAGCACCACTTGTGAGAGCTCTTGTTGGCGTGGCGTAGAGCAAGTTCAGTCGGTCAGAGCTACACTGTCGGCGTCAGGAGATGACGTAGGGCGAGCCCAGTCGGCCAGAGCTGCGCTGATGCCGGAGATCGCGAGGGCACAACCGGTCGGCACGGAATCCAGCAAGGGAGTTCTTGAAGCCTGTCTAAAGGAACATTATTCATTTCTGTAGTGTGCATTATCAACACTTTCCACTCACCAGAGCCAGACAACACGTATTATATATTTTGCATTGATTTAAAAGTTTTCATTGCCCCACATTTCTCAGCCAACCCCATTGCAATGGACATTATCATGGAGTCGACATGGTTCATGGTGTCTGCATCCTGCATGCAGGCCGATTTGCAGAACTGGCTGTCAATACGTCTGCATGACAATGCACTTGTCGTTTACATCAACTGAGTGTGACGGCAAACTGACAGCTGTTGCTAGTATGGCACGAGTAGCTGTCTTCCTGCAAAATTGCGCTGGTGTTAAGCAGTCTCTGCGAAGTCGCCTCTCAATATTGAGGCAGAAGTTACTATTTTGCTCTAGTGGTATTAAAAATATATTCAGTGCAGTCCCATATACTTTGACACTATTTTTAGGGTTCTCAAGACCAGTGTTTTTATATATAAAGCAACAACCCAAAAATAGTAAAAATTTGTGATAGTACTCCTTGAATGCTCACGTTGCTTGACCCGTGTTCTTTCAGATTGCCAAATGTTCCCTTGAACCAAAAAGCGAGGAGAATATTTTGTTTTTGTTATGAAGTGAAATAATGTTTTCGTTACATTTTGCTCTAGTGAAAAGTATCATTTTTTATTTTAGTTTTTGTTTCATTCTGGCACACTGGTTTAAGATTAGTGTCAACATTATGCACATGCTGAGGTTTTTTGGCAGCAGTGCCTTTTGACTGATCATAAGTTGGGGAGAGAAACAAAAGACTCGGCTCACAAATTCCCACCACATGTTCCTGTCTCTATTCAGACAACTCTGAGCTTGCTTTCTCAGCATTCATTCAAACCAACACGAGAATCACGGATGGAATTCCTTCAAATCCTGCACGAGAGTGGTATGAAGTTTAGTGGAACCGGTTGGTGCTGCTAGAAGTGCCTTCATCAGTGACAGAGTGAAATCTGCGTGAAGCCTGTTACAGCAGCCTTAAAATAATTAAAAATCTATAGATTTTACATCTTTTAATAATCAAAAAGGACCTTTGCATACACAAAGCCCTACAGATGTCTTGCATTTTATTGTTGTCCTATTATTAGATTGTTCCCGCTTTGGCAACTTGGCACTAAGGTGTTTCAGTGCTAAGCTCGAAGATGTGGGTCTGATATCTGGTCACAGCAGCCATATTTCGTCTGGTCTAAATGCAGAAAAACTTGTGTACGTAGATTTAGATGTGTGTTTAACCACCCCAGGTGGTAAAAATTAATACCGAGTTTCCCACTATCACATTGATCGTATCATGGTTTTGGCATTTCAAACCCCTCAAATTATTTATTCATTTGGTTGTATGTTACCCTCAGCAGTTTGTGCTTCCTTAACCAAAAGACGCACAACCTGGGGCTTCCTCTCTCTAGCAGAAATCGCTTAGCACTGTCGAAACCTTGCTACAGTGTACTTCAGGTACTTTACTTAAGTCACATAAAGCTCGCCTCACAGGTTGGTAATAGAGTTGCTGAAAACCCCCGATGACATAATGACTATTCAAGCACTAGTTCTCTAAGTTCACATAAACGCCTCTCTAAGGCTTCCAGAATACCATATTTTTGCATGGATGACCTCGTTTCCTCTTCCCTTCTAGTTTGGCTTGCATAAATTTTGGTTACAATGGATTAGAAGGTGGCCTACCATTAAAGTGCATATCACGGAGTAGCATGGCATTATTTTTTATTTAGGTGTATATAAAGACTTGCTTTTTGGATGATTTATCATTGTGAATGTGTTTTATTATAGATCTCTGTTTGTAGTGTCGTGCATGATTGTTTTTTTTTTTTGCAACATCTGCATTCCTGAAGTGCAGTTTATAATCTTGGTGGCATTTGCTATTGTGAGAAAGTTGCAACCTTCAGCCTTTTCTGGCTGAATTTTTTTTAGTGACAAATTATACAAGGAGTGCTCATCTAACTGTAGTACCAACATACATAAAATTAGGCAATTTCTATAAGATCATTAAGAAATACGACTGCATTGTGTACTGACCCCATTTTTCGCAATGTTCTCATTCCAAGCATTTTGCTATACTAAAGGCAGATTGTGTTGCTACTTGGTGCTAAAAAGCACCAACAGTGCACGCTTTTCCGAGATTGTTCTGTGCCAACTGTGAGCTATGAATGAGACACTCAAGCCAAAGACCAACGAATCTATTGCAACAGGATAGAAAGGTGGGCTAGTTGGTCGTTCATAATCTTCGTTCAAATTCATAATCAGTGTTAATGCTGATATGAAACAATACATTGAAGGAAGTAAGCAAATGTGATGACCTGAAAGGACCAATAGCGTAACAACAGATGTATGCTCGTGTGATCTGAAAAAAAAAAAACAAAAAAAAAAACAACTAGGACATTGTGGGAAGGCCCGTCTTTCATGCCAGTTATGCATTTAAGATTTACTCTGCATGTTGTGATACTGTGTCCACATCATTGTTCAGTTTATTAAACCAGTCTTTACATCATTTACATTATATGGACCCTTGTAAATATAAAATAAGGCCAACTGGCACGTGGAATCCAGAAAAAAAAAACAGTAATCTGCAACTGCAAATGTATGGAGTACTTAACAACATGCATGCATCACAAAGTGCAAACCCATGAAGGCACAATAGTTGGCTGTACCCAGAAGTTCTAGAAGTGGATTGCTGACTAGCGTTTCACATGTTGCTTTGCACAGCTGTCATCAATACAAATTCGGGAAGGCATAGGAAGCTGAATGATATTTAACTTTATTTATATCAATATTCAGGATTGATATATTAGTAAATTCTATGTGTACAGTGTACTTAGTTTTGCTATTTTTCTAATACATTTCATTCTATTTTTTACTTTTTAGCTTCACTGGCACTGATAGTGCTGATATCAACCTGCTGGGATGCCCATTTTTGTAACTAGTTTCTCTTCATTTTACCAGCACAGTCTTCGCAGATTGAAGGGCCAGTGAACAAGTCCGAAAATTGTAATGAAGAGAAATATGCGCACCTTTTGCTATTTGAACATGCTGTTGCAAGAATTTAGAAAATACGTGCTATAATAAGGAAGTTGCAGGGGTTGGAATATTAGCTTCAGCTGGTTTCAAATTTTCGCGCAGCCTCGCAATCCTTCTCTACCATAGGGAGGAGAAAAGCATAGCCAGTTATAATGACTTCGCCCACTCAGCAATATGTCATCGGCGCACAGCCAACAACCAACAGGGCTTCCCTCACATTAGCACATGTGTGGTGCAGGGAGGAAGTGCAGCATAAGTAGCGCCCATCCCCTAGCGGGAAAGCAGCGAGACGCCTCTTTGTCTTGGAGGCTTTCATTCTGGCAATACCGCTTCTCTTCTCAGGCTCTACAAATGGCAGAGGGTAGGACAGGAAAATGGAAATGTAAACTGCACGGGCGAAACTGCATCCATGCTGGACCATGGCTGTTTCGTAGGGCAAAGAACCAATCCACAAGCTCAGTGGCGCATCAAGTTAGCCACAGGCAAATTTGCATCAATGCGTGTACAAGGAAGATTAATCAAAAGAGGCATGGGAATTGTTTTTCAAAATGGAAGGCCTGCACAGCGTGTAGAGCTGCAATATTAGAAAAATAGAAATGAAATGTCAAGTTGGCGAGCTAGTTTGTGGAGTGTAAAAAAAAAAAAAAGTCTGACCCTCTTTACTGGCCTTTTAAGGTACCAAGTGCCACAGCGATCGCCACATTTCACTGTGAGAAATATTTTTAATCAATACTGTGTGCTTTCTGGTTTTAGGCTGCTGCGCCTAAAGAAGGACCAGCCTCCAACATTACAAGTTAAGGAACCATCGCAGGCATTCCTTGAAGAAGACTACACAGAACAAATGGAGAAACGCCTGCCACCAGATGTCATTTATATGTTGCGAAGTATACGGTGGGTAGGCAAAAATATATTGCATGGTGAATAATTATATATCTAGTGCATGCATAGCTCGGTGGGCATAGAAGAATGTGTGACTGTTCTGTGTTGTTGACCTTTTACTTCACATTAGTGTATTTTGTAAAATGCCAAAATATGCAATGAATATGAGATCTTGGAGCCTTGGAGGTTTCTCCATGCATCATTGCATTTTTGCATCACAGCTTTGAACTTGGTACCAGCAAGTGCAGCCCTGTACACTTCAACGATTATTGCAAGACTCACAAAATTGTAACTGGTATCTCTCATGGAGCCTCCTAAAAAGTTGGAACCTCTTGAAGCATCAAGACTGATTGGTGCTTCCCAGGCCATGGCAGCTGCATTTCGCTCAGGGGGTGGGTGAGGGAAAGTGACCATGTTTCTTTAATTAAAAGCCTTAGATGATAAAAAATGGTCCGGGAGTCTTCGAGTCCATCATGCCTCATAATTTGATGAGTTGACTAAGGCACTTCAAATAGAGAATCTTTTTCTCTTAGGCTGAAACCACTGCGAGCTGCATGTTCAGAGTGGCTATTGTTTTCGCCCGGGTGCTCATTTCAAGGCTTAAGACACACTCAGGCACTCGTGCATGTTGTGTGTTAAAAGTAGCTACTTGAAAGTGAAGGGGCTGTGGCATGAGTTTAGATAGCTAGAACACCGAAGCTGTCCCACAAAATTGCATTGCTAGCAGTGTTCATAGGACGTCTCGTGCACCGCTGCACCTCTGGTGGCGGTTGCTGGATCCATATGAAACTGAGGCTCATGACCATAAGTACTGAAGGACTCTGCTCATACTTGGCATTTCCTTGCTAAATAAACGAGATGCACACCGTGTGTGCCAATCATCCACCCCGACAGTCCCAAACTACTTGAAGAGCGTTCCATCAATTAGTGTTGCATATACTTTGGATGAGGATGAACAGAACTGTCAGGGTTGCATAATTTAGGAGGCCTGTGGCAACACATTAGCAAACTTGACTCAATTTTGTAGCCATGTGCAAAATTTTGACCTCATAAAGTAGTGTACATACTATGAAGCAGTGGTAGGCATTGACATGTAGCTCTGACCCTGTTGTCCAACTAGTGGCAGTGGCCTTGGTCACTGAGGCTGCTGGGCTGATAAAACCTTTGGTTATCTTAATCACAATTTTCATCAGTCAATTGAGAATGTTTCCAACGAATGCTATTTTGTTTTACAAGAATATGAGTGTCAAGATACGCTTGGGGAAGAGTGCTGAAAAAAAAATTCTTTTAGTACAAAGAACTTATCACAAGTTAATAAATCTGTGTCGAACACTTGTATTTGTCGAGCCATTTCAAAATTGCACAATATATGGAGGCTATGGACCTGCCTTTTCCCCTTCATCTTTATCTACTAAGTAGAATAGACTAACTTGCATTTTATCACATTTTGTGGATGCGAAAATGTAAGTTACCAGCAGTCTGGTTGTTTGCTTGAAAAATGGTATCTCGCCTTTCTAAGCAATATTTTATTCTTTTTCTTGTGCATTGTCTAAACAGCTTAAGGGCAATAGCAACAAGTTATGCACCCTTCCTGTATTTGGTCGAGTTTAGGCCAATTTAGCTTTGTTAAATATGCTGGCAGAAGGCTGCTTTTTGAAGAATGGTTCAAGAAGTATGTCAAATGCACATAGTTGGTTTCTAGGGGAAAAGTTAAGGCCCTCTGCTAGGCTTGTGCAAATGTTTGAATCCTTTGAATAGTCGAATGAATAGTACAGTATATTTAAATTCATTTTGAATCGAATTCAAATTATTTAAAATTTCAAAGCATTCGAAACGAGCGAATAAATGAATATTAGTCTGCATCTTGTAAAGGTGGTTTAACTGCAGTGGAGGAATGCTAAACCATGAAAGCACCTAGTCAGGTGTAGATTAGTCCCAATGCAACTTTTTGTAAAAGTGGTTTCACTGCAATGAAATGGTGCTAAGCACTGAAAACACGTACTTAGGGGGAATCCGCATTGGCACGAAGCCCCTCTTCAAAGGTAAATGAAGATATTACCCTTGGATGGATTCACTATTTATGTTAAAAAGCTTGTTGTACTGACTTATATGTTCTAAATTTTCAAATGCAACTTACTTCCTACAGAAAGTGGAATCCTGCTACTATTTGAAGTTGTTTCCAATTTCTTTGGAGGAAAAAGAATGCCATTTGCACAGGCCTTGTTTCAATTTTTAAAAATATTGTGCAGGTTAGTTAGGTCATGACAAATATGCTCATTTTTCTCTATAATATGCGATATATGTACTATTCAAATTCAGTTAGAAATTATTCGACCATAATCACTGTTTGCTGCGATCTTAAACTGCATAAACTGCTTTGGGCACCTGTTTAGTAGGCCTCGTACAGTTCTGTAAGCAGGGTTTGCGCATGATGCTGTTTTATAAGATTTGCCACAACTATCTCATGTTATAAACTGTTTTCCTTTTTCATTCTCAGGGTTTTTGGTTTCTTTGAGAAACCCTTGTTTATGGAACTATGGAAGCACATTGAAACATTGTTTGTGCCTCGGGGCACTATGTTGTTCTCGCTTGGTGACAGCGATGACAGCATCTATGTAGTGCAGTCTGGCCGTATACACGTGCACATCGTTGAGCCTGTGAGTCCATCTTGTCATGTCGAAACAGTTTTGAATGCAATGTTTTATGATTCTGTGATTACTTGAATGGCAAAACATGTTGATTTGAAGGCTGTCACTGTTGTGCTTCAGATATATCATGGTGGGAGTGCTTAACTCCTTATGCATTCTTAATTCGCTGTGGCGTTTTTGTGTGCACGTTAGCATAACATGTTTTGTTCTGTACATGCTCAGATGAATTTGGTTGGCATTCTTGCCATTCCTGAAGCCTACACACTAGCTCGTGTGCATGGTGCACTAGATCACTGGCTAGTGTATGGCAGCAGTTTGCTGTTTACTGCTTCACCTGCTTTAGTTTCATGCCTTACCAGTGCTGTTTTTTTCTGGTCTGTTATTGTGAGTGCTGTTTGTGCATTTCAGTGAGATATATGTATGTGAAAAAGTACAATACATGACACTACAAATCTAAAAACTATGGTGACACTGCAGATAGTGTACATGTTTGACTTAGATGTGCAGTCTCGCAGCAACCAAAAGTAAAGTTTCTCTGGAAAGGTGAAGCGAGTAATCTGATGGCAGATTCAGGGGCAACATGAATTGTTGTAAATGTAAGCTTGCCAGGTGAGCAGGTGTGCTGCAATGTGGCCACAGCACACCTGCTCACTTATGAAGCTCATGGTTCTTCTCTTGCTCTCAACACATCTGAGCTAGTTTATCAAATGTTTCCTTCGTATGTTTTTTATTGGCTATTTGGAAATCTGTAGGCTTGTGCGAATATTCGAATGCTTTGTATATTTGAACGAATAATGCAGTATTCGAATTCGCTTTGAACTGAATTTAAAATATTGGAAATTTTGAATTATTCGAAAGTAATAATTAGGTGCATATTAATCCGTGTGTAAAATCGCCTGCTTGTTAGCCGGAGAGCATTGTGTTAAGAAAACTAGCCACCCTGTTCACGAGGTGTCTCCTGATGGGAAGAGTACTAGAATCTTGGAAGAATGCTAACATCATCCTAATACATAAGAAAGGAGATGACAGGGACTTGAAGAATTACAGGCCGATCAGCTTGCTCTCTGTAGTATACAAGCTATTTACAAAGGTAATTGCTAAAAGAATTAAGACATTAGAATTCAATCAACCAAAGGAACAAGCAGGATTTCGAACAGGCTACTCAACAATCGACCACATTCATACTATCAATCGGGCAATAGAGAAATTCTCAGAATATAGCCCACCACTATACATAGCCTTCATAGATTACAAGAAGGCGTTTGATTCAGTAGAAATATCAGCAGTCATGCAGGCACTGCGGAATCAGAGCGTCGACGAAGCATATATAAACGTCCTGGAAGACATCTACAGGGTATCAACTGCTACCATAGTGCTTCATAAAAAAAGCAATAGAATACCAATCAAGAAGGGTGTAAGGCAGGGGGATACAATATCCCTAATGCTATTGAAACGAAGATGCGCGAGCCTACGGGGCACGGAAGAAGTAGAAGAGTAGTGGAGCGGTGCTTGGACTGTGTGGTTGGGTGAAGCGCTCTAGGCCTGTCTCAGAAGTACGCTGCTCTTTCACAACGACATTTCACCTCATCTTTAAATAAACACAGTCACTCGTAACAGTTTGGTGGAGGTGCTGGGTACATCGATCTGGACGACCCAGCTCTACCGATTTTGCGACGGAGCAGACGCTTGGCACGCTTGCCACCACAGCTACCAGATAAGGAGGACGTGGGAGCAGGCCATAACAACCTTGTTGCTGATGAGCAACACGCTCGCCCGCCAGGACAAGCTCGCTGCGGCATTCCGGAACGTCAGCCGAGGACCTTTACGGGGCAGCCGGATGACGATGTTGATGACTGGCTCAAGCACTACCAAAGAGTGAGTCGCAGCAACTGCTGGAGCACTGTTAAGCAGCTCGAACGTTGTTGTCGGCACCGCGTCTCTTTGGTTCGACAATTATGAGAGTGCATTGACCACATGGGACATTTTCGTGGGCGAGCTGAAGAGGTGTTTTGGTGATTCAACAGCTAAGGTCAAGCAGGCGGGGTAAACGCTTTCACGCAGAGCTCAGTTACCTGGCGAAACATGCACCACCTACATCGAGGCCGTCTTGAAGCTTTGCGGAATCGTGAGTGCGACCATGTGTGACGAAGATAAGGTAGGTCATCTGCTCAAGGGAATCGCGGAAGATGTGTACAATTTTCTTATCACTAAGGGAGACTTACACACGCCTTCCGACTTAAGGAGACACTGCCGAGCGTTTGAAGCGCTAAAGAGGAGAGTCCTACCGAAATTTGGACGTCTTGAGAATGTGCCCACGATTGCAAGTGTCAACCTTCCATCACAGGACGACCTCTTTTCTTATAAGACGAGTGGTTGCGAAAGAACTTGCTCAACTGCAAGCTGTGGACACCACTGGTGTCTGCCATCAGTGTGCATTCGACCAACGGCCCCGTGAACCACTGGTACCTCGGATGCGACAGAGCTACTTCGAGCCTCGCCCGAATTGCACCGATCGGTTCGAAGGAAGGAGTGAACGACCACTCGAAAACCAGGAACGCAGGCAAGCTGCATCACAGCGATTTACTCCTCGGCCACCATTGCCCGGCTTTTATCAACCGACGAGGTCTACTTCGCCGGGGATGACTAGACGCAACACCCGTACTTGCTACAACTGCGGGCTACCTGGACACATCGCTAGGTACTGCTACCGTCGCCAGCAGCGAGCTCCACGATTCAACGTGTACACGCCCTATGTATTTGCTGGCGAGTCTCGACCATTTCAGGGCTCTTTCTAACGGCAACACGCAGCACGTGCTGACTCGCCTTGCTCAGACCGCAGCGTTACCCCACCACCCGCACGCCAACAGCGATCCCCGTCTCCGCGTCGCCGCTCGGGGACGCCACCACCAATGGGGGTGAGGCCACAAAATCATTTTCCGCAAGACCACCTTGTGTTGTAATGGTTGAGAACAAAGTGAGTGTTTTTGTAGACAATGTGAGTACTGTTGCACTAGTTGATACCGGTGCTGCCGTTTCCATAATGAGCATGTTTTTTAAAAATCGCCTTGGGACGAAAGTAATGTTTGCTTGGAATCGGAGTGCTACGTTCCGCGGCGTAGGGGTAGAAACGTTGAGCCCGGTTGGAGTTTGTTCTGTTTTACTTCCTGTAGGAAATCAAACGTTTCGAGCTGAACTAACGGTGCTTGCACGAGCGACCCACAACGTCATTCTAGGTATAGATTTTTTGCGGGAATGTGGTGCAAGTCTAGATTGTGGTAGTGGTGGGATTATTTTTCGTCCCGTGTTGCCGTCTCCATTGACGAAAGATACCGTTGATGACTGCTTGGAAGTGTTTTCTGTGTCTGAAGATGTCTGCTTGGCCCCGCATACCGCAATGTTTGTGCGTGTAAACTCTTCGCGTTCTTGTGCGGGTTCTTACTACGGTTTAGCCGAGCCGAACTTCAGTAACGCACTTAAGAAAAACGTTATTGTGCCTCGTTGCCTCGTGCTCACTGTCGATGGTTGTGCTGATTTGTGGACTGTAAACGTTTCCGCGCAGCCCATATATCTGCCTGCAGGACTTAAATTGGCAAGCTTTCAAGAGCAAAGTACTCTTACCATACGGTCACTCCAACTGTCGGTGGATGTCAAGAAACCCCACGCCAACTCGTACCCCGACTATTCTGCCAGCATTGACCGTATGATTAACAAGTCACTTCCATCAACTGAACGGTCGCTGCTGCAGGAGGTGATTGCACGCTACGCCTCAGTCTTTGACTTTGCCCAAGATGAGACGTCTACCGTTACGCCACCGTCTTCACGTATGCAACACCGTATCTATACAGGCCAAGCACCACCAATTCGCCAGAAGCCCTATTGTGTATCGCCTTCCGAAAGGAAAGCCATCGCTGAGCAAGTTGAAGACATGCTAAAGAAGGGCGTCGTACAAGAATCGTGTAGTCCATGGGCAGCTCCTGTCATTCTAGTCAGGAAAAAGGATAATTCATGGAGATTCTGCGTAGACTATCGTCGTCTAAATGCCATCACAAAGAAAGACGTCTACCCTTTGCCGCGTCTAGATGACGCCGTGGACTGCCTGCATTCTGCCTATTTTTCTTCTGTTGACTTGCGTTCTGGGTATAGGCAAATTCCTATGCATCCCTCAGATAAAGAAGAGAAGACGGCCTTTCCAACACCAGACGGTCTCTTCGAGTTTAACGTTATGCCTTTTGGTTTGTGCAATGCTCCAGCGACATTCGAGAGATTTATGGATACAGTACTCCGTGGACTAAAATGGGAAATTTGCCTTTGCTATTTAGATGACGTGATTATCTACGGCAAGACTTTTCAAGAGCATAACCAGCGCTTGTCGCTTGTGTTTGAATGCTTACGCGAAGCTGGCCTTGTTTTAAACTCAAAGAAGTGTCATTTTGGAGAACGTCAAGCCCTCGTATTAGGCTTTCTCGTGGATAAAGAAGGCGTGCGACCAGACCCACAGAAGATCGCAGTGGTTCGCAACTTTGAACCACCACGAACAGTGAAGGACCTGCGAAGTTTTCTGGGTCTGTGCTCATATTTCTGCCGATTTATTAAGAACTTCGCACAACTTGCCTCCCCACTGACGTCCCTTCTTCATAAAGACTCACCGTACTTGTGGGATGATAAATGTGAGGCTGTATTTCAACAGCTCAAGTTTTTATTGACTTCAGGACCCATCCTAAAGCATTTTGATCCAGATGCTTTGACTGAACTTCATACTGATGCTAGTGGGCTAGGTGTTGGTGCTGTGCTGGTCCAACTCTGCAACAGCCGTCAGCACGTCGTAGCATATGCCAGTCGGACACTGACCCGAGCAGAGATGAACTACACCGTCACCGAGCTTGAGTGCTTAGCAGTCGTCTTCGCCATTCAGAAGTTCCGACCGTATCTACATGGCCGCGAGTTCACAATAGTGACTGATCACCACTCACTATGCTGGCTTGTGGGACTTCGTGACCCGTCTGGCCGGCTGGCTCGTTGGGCGTTGCGTCTCCAAGAGTACAGCTTTTCTGTTACATATAAGAGCGGACGATGTCACACAGATGCTGACTGCTTATCCCGCCTTCCTTCAGTACACACCAACGCTGACGACGATGACATTTATGACTATTTAGTTTCTGTCTCGTCCGACTTCCCAGATACCAGCAGCTTCAAACGTGAGCAGCAGCGCGACCCTACTCTGAAACCCTTGCTCGAAGCTGCACATAACTCCGTCGACAAGCACTTTAAAATTTCAAATGACTTGCTGTGTAAAAGAAACTATTCAGCCGATGGCCTCCCGTTGCTTCTAGTGGTGCCGGAAAGCCTGCGCCAGGTCGTCCTTCGTTCTGTGCACGATGACATAACATCCGGTCATCTTGGTTTCACACGTACGCTACATCGACTACGGGAGAGGTTCTACTGGCCGAAAATGTGGAAGACCACAAAACAGTACGCCGCCAGCTGCGCTATATGTAAGCGCCACAAGCGACCCATCACTGCCCCGGCAGGTTATTTGCCGCCCATCCCTCCACCGACATCCCCTTTTGAAAAAGTCGGCATCGACTTGCTTGGACCCCTTCCTAAGACCCCATCGGGCCACCGATATGTTATAGTGTGCGTGGATGATTTAACGCATTATACGAAAACGGACGCACTGACATCGGCCACAGCATCCGCTGTTTCTTCTTTTCCGTTACAACGGGTCATACTGCGTCACGGTGCTCCCTTGGTTGTCATCAGTGACCGTGGACGATAATTTATCGCCTATGTGGTTAAAGAAATTTTGCGCCTCTGTGGCTCCTCGTATCGCCACTCCACCCCTTACCATCCGCAAACTAAGGGTCTCACTGAGAGAACAAATTGAACTCTCAGGAATAGGCTATCGATGTACGTTGATGCTGACCACAGGAACTGGGACGCCGTCTTACCGTTTGTTACTTACGCATATAACACCGCCAAGCATGAAGTTACTGGACATTCGCCCTTCTTTCTGCTTTACACACGAAATCCACAGTTTTCTGGACACTCTATTTTCTTTCTTGCATCAGGAAGATCTGTCCATCGCTCAGACGTTGTGTCGCGCTGAAGAAGCACGTCAACTAGCGCGCCTTCGAACATTGTCTTCGCAAGAACACAGCAAGAGTCGCTACGATGCCAAGCATATCCCCGTAGAGTTTTCTCCTGGGGACTACGTGTGGCTGTGGACTCCTGTTCGTAAAAAAGGATTGTACTGGAAGTTTCTAGCAAACTATTCTAGCCCATTCGTGATAGTCACTCGTCTCAGTGACGTGAATTACGTTGTCGCCCGAGTCACAGCCAATAACCGGCGTTCGCGCACTACGCAAATTGTTCACGTAGCCCGCCTCAAACAGTACCATCATAGGCCTATTTAACTCACTCGGCGAGCTTCGTCTGCCGCCGGGGGAAATGAAACGAAGATGCGCGAGCCTACGGGGCGTGGAAGAAGAAGAAGAGTAGTGGAGCAGCGCTTGGACTGTGTAGTTAAGTGAAGCGTTCTAGGCCTGTCTCAGAAGTACGCTGCTCTTTCACAACGCCATTTCACCTCATCTTTAAATAAACACAGTCACTCGTAACACTATTTACCGTGTGCTTACAGGAGGTTTTCAGAGGCCTAGAATGGGAACAGTTAGGCATAAGAGTTAATAGAGTACCTTAGTAACCTGCGCTTCGCCGATGATATTACATTGCTGAGTAACTCGGGGGACGAATTGCAACTCATGATTACGGAGTTGGACAAGGAAAGCAGAAAAGTAGGTCTTAAAATTAATCTGCAGAAAATGAAAGTAATGTACAACAACCTCGGAAGAGAACAGTGCTTCGAGATAGGTAATAGTGCGCTTGAAGTTGTAAAAGACTGTCTATTTAGGGCAGGTAATAACCGCGGAGCTGAACCACAAGACTGAAGTAACTAAGGGATAAGAATGGGGTGGATCGAATTTGGCAAGCACTCTCAAATCGCTACAGGTAGATTGCCACTATCCCTTAAGAGGAAGGTATATAACAGCTGCATCTTGCTGGTACTTAGCTACGAAGCAGAAACCTGGAGACTTGCAAAGAAGGTTCAGCTTAAATTTAGGATTAAGCAGCGAGCAATATAAAGGAAAATGGTAGGTGTAACCTTAAGAGACAAGAAGAGGGCAGAGTGGGTTAGGGAACAAACCATGGATATCATTGTTGAAGTCAAGAAGAGGAAATGGACATGGGCCGGGCATGTTGCACGTAGACAGGATAACCGCTGGTCATTAAAGGTAACTAACAGGATTCCTAGAGAAGGCAAGCGGGTTAGGAGGAGACAAGGTTAGGTGGGCAGCCGAGATTAATAAGTTTGTGGGTATAAATTGGCAGCAACAAGCACAGGACCGAGTTGACTGGCAGGACATGGGAGAGGCCTTTGTCCTGCAGTGGACGTAGTCAGGCTGATGATGATCATAATAATGAATTCGTGTGTGACAACCTGTAAAGCAGTGGGCGGTGTTAAGCTGTGAAAGCACCTGTTCAAGGGAAATTTGTACTGCTGCAAAGCCTAACTTTAAAGTTAAATGAGGGTATTATTTTCACATCGATTCATTTTTCAAGTTGAAAAGTCTGTTATACAGACTTATATGCTCCAAGTACAAAAAATTTTATAAAGTAACATATTTTACAGGCTATCACTTGCATTCTACCGAAAGTCAAATTCTTGTACTATTAAAAGTTTTCTTTAATGCAAAAAAAAAAAAAAGGCATTTGTACAGGCCTTGTATAAATTTTTTTTAGATTGTGCAAGTATGAGGCCATGACAAGTATGCCCCTTTTCTTTCATAGTATACTATATATATTATTCGAATTCGATTCAAAATTATTTCAGGAAAATCATTATTCCTTTTGAATTCGCTTCGAACCTAAAATAAACTATTCGCACAAACCTAATAATCTGTCAAGCTTATTCATAATGAAATTTTATCCAAAGTTGTGGAAAATGAAAAAGAATTTATTCTTTCATTTTACTTTCTTGATGGTTTATTTTTCTGGAGTAAAAAATGAATCCTTGTTGGCTTATTATTATGCTTTCAATTAAGTGAGCGTTTCAGCCACTCTGACACTTATTGTTGCTTAATTTAGCTTTTGCTTTTCAATTAAGTTTAATGTGTACTATCTCTGTTCATAGGATGGAACTGAGCTTGCATTCAAAGAAGTGACAGCTGGCGAGAATATTGCAAGTCTACTGAGTGCTCTCGTTGTGCTAACCGTAAGTCATATGCGTGTCACATTTGGCAGGCAGCTCTAGAGAATTTTAGGGCCGACCATGATTTTGTGCCTTTTGATGTTACAGGGTGTCCCATCCACATTTAAAACAGTTGCAGCTCGTGCTCTTGAGGACTCTTCGGTCTTGAGGTAAAAATGCCTTCGTGTTTTGTGAAACTGTTACATAATGCCTGTTAAAGAGATACCATGAAATACTTTATGCATGAAATAGTTCTCGCCAAGGTTGAAAGTTATTGAATTAGAAGGCATCCTCGAAGTGATTTGGTCTTGTTTTTCTCATAGGTGCCAATGTGTTAATCTCAATGAGTACACCTCACAAACACTGTCTTACATCAGGTGTACTGCAGGGAGGTATCCTGGGGCCATTTTGGTTCAATTTATATAATGATATTGTCCACATTCACTCTAAGTATATTTTGTTGATTACACCTGCGTTTTTTTTTTTTAGTGGTAAAGATGCCTACGAATTACTGGGCAATGCTAACAAAATGCTTGGCATTCTCGAGCATTGGTTAAACTTAAATGCTTTGCATGTGACGAAAACAAAAGGTTTTTCGTTCCAAAAGTAAAACTTTACTGTGCTCTCTATCTTTACCCATGAACCGGAAAACATAAAATTGTGCCAGCTTTCAAATCTCTTGGCGTTCGGTTTTATGAAAAGTTGCTGTGGGATGTTTATGTTTATCACGTATGCTTAGCTGTCTCACGTTTTATTTGTATTGAATACCGTAATAATAATGTCCTTCCTATCAAAATCGTACTCTTGCTTTTCAGATATCTGTTTATGTCACACATTATTTGTTGCCAGCTTGTATGGGTCACTACTACGTTCACAAATTTAGGAAAGGTTCATCTGAAAAAAAAAAAAAAAAAACTTGACACCTTGTTTATGATTTACTTGAAGATTACCCTTCTGCACAGCTCTTTTAAACGGCTGCTATTCCAAAAGTCTTGTCTGTATAAATTACGCTTTTTTTTCTACATCAATATGAAAAAAAATATAGATTGATGCCTATCGAAATAACAGAACTAGTCAAATGCATTTCTGTGTGCTCTTTCACTAATACAGTTAGACCTGCTTGGAAAGAACCTCAACATAAGGAATTCCTCGGTATAAATGTTTTTATATTCCCGGTTGTTTCTCCATAGAAGCACATGTATTTGCGACCTCAATGTAACAAAGTAACAGTGGGAGACAACCTTGATATAATGAATTTTCCCCATGGGCAATCTAGAAATTTGTCTCCTCATTTTGGTACGAGCATGCATTTTCTGCGGCAGCCCCGCCGCCGCCGAAGTGCGAAGTGGTGGCGGCGGGCACGCGGTCTGCGTCCACGGAGGTAGGCAGGCAGGCCTTCACGGCACAAGCCGGCGTTGCCGTTGTTCTCGCCGTTGCAGGCGCATGCCTGGGTGTACCCTATCTTTCCTCCTACTCTGAACCAAAATAAAAAAGAAAACTACTTTTGCATTTTGGCAGTTCGACGCTTTTAGTTAGCGTCACATATGTGGGGCCACACTGCGTACAGTGCTCTACTGAATAGCTTTCTGTGGTATCCATATCTGTGTCTCTGTCATTCACTCTTCGTTTTTGACGCCAAGCGTGCACTAAGTCTCACTGCGCAAGTGCATGATGAGGTGCCCGACGACATTTAGTTTTCCTTTTTTTATTATTGCAATAGCAGTTATATGGACAGCTTGAATTGGTTTATTGCTGCCGCTGCCGTCATTCACAGTACATGTATATGTATCTATATATATGAAAACTCGAAAAAGAAAAAAAAAAACGGGCTCGGTGCCCAGTTTGTCACGATGCGCTGACGCGTGCTAATCTCCCACGTGTACTTTGCCTCGCGAATGGGAGGGGGGGATTTTGCCGGGTACTAAAAGATCACTTCACTCACTCGACAGGCGCCGTTTGTGAAAAGAGTGCGCTTTCAAACGCAGTGAAGTAACAACTGGGGCATTTGTTAGTTTGCACTCATATCTGTACCTCTCATTATATTTCGTGCCTCGTTTTCGTTTAAACAGCGCGTTAAGTGTTGAGTGGTAAACGTTAGTTCGCTCTCGTACTGTGTATGTTGTTTTCGTGCTTAATTTGTGCGTGAGCAGCGCGCTGCACGTTTCGATCTGCTTGCCGTTCTCAGCGTTACATTCCAAGTTGTTGCTATCGCATTCACTGCTTTGCTCGTGCGGCAAAACTGTGACTTTGCTTAACTTCGGATAACCGTGTCCTCACCACCGAGGGATGTCAGATTAGGCGCTGATGGAAACTCTCGGAGACTACGGTGACAACGGATCTTCAAGACGTTGACTCGTCATGCGCTTTCCTCTTGCACCGTGCTCGAGTTTGCAGGCTGGTAGCTGTCCTAATTATCCGATTAATTCTGACGACACGATGGCGCGTTGAATGCAATACAATGAATGTGATAGCAAAAAATTGTAATGTTATAAAAAGTAAGGCTGCCAGCCAACTTTTTTTAATCCGATGTCACGAACCTCCTACAAAACGCTGGTGTGAGCAAATACGGCCACTCCAGGGAGAAGTGCTCTTTTCACACAGTCCCTTCGCATTGAAACCGTGCTGATACTTGCCGAGAGAGCAAGCGCGCCAGCGTACGCGACAGCCCTTAAAATCTAAGTTCATTATTGCTACTCAAGCGATCCCCCATCCCCACATTGTTTCATGCTCGTTCAAGATGGGTGGTCTACTTTGAGCATTCGACGGCAGTTCTAACATGCGGGAGATGTTATCTTATGCACTTTCCAGGTGGTGGGGGTGGGTCGACTCATGTGATCTCTGCTTCAGCAGCGCGCGAGCGCTTTTACCCGCTGTTGAGAAGCCAACTCCGAATCCCACCGCTGACCTCCACTGTTGAGAACGACGGACCGATCCCGCCGAAGCCACCACTGTTGCGAAAGACGGCGACGCCAACACGGCCCCGGAGGCGCCACTGCTTTCAACTCCGCCGGGAAGGTCACCAGCCGTTTGGTAGCGTGTGTTTATCAGCTCGCGACTGCTTCTGCGCAGAGCCGATAAGACGAGCGGACGAGACGACGGTGAGTTAAACAAGGTTTATGTACAGCATATATACAGAGGCGTTACAATTTCGGCACTGGGGCCGACAGATACTCGAAGAGCCGAGCTCTTCTCTCTAACACATAGTTCAGCCTTTCGCCTAAGACCGCTGACTCACACACATGTCGGCACTCCGACACGGGGACGCCTCTCACATAGGACCGCCGATCGCGACGCGCCGCAGGGCTTCTTTTATTTACACCGGGTCCAACCAAAATGTCCAATCAGAAGCGCCGCTGGTCGTCAGCGCAGATTCTTCCAATGGGGTTGCCGCGCCATGCGTCAGACCACCGGACACGAGAACGCCAGCTCGCTGTCACGTGCGCCGCTGACTCAATGCACGTGGGCGAGAGAGGCGCCGCGCGTGTTCACGCCGTTGAGATGTTCGCGTCAGGCAGACTGCGGGCTGGCCTTGACCCAGATTGCCTTTTTCAGAGGCACGGACGTTTGACGAGGACTCGCTGGCATAACAGCACCCCCGCCGCCAGACAATGCACCGGAAAGACGAGCTGCTTCCACGGGGCTCGGATGTCAGGTGCGCTCGTTCGCCAGGTCCCTCCAGGTTCGCCTCCAGGGCCATGGGGAGAATACAGCTCCAGACTGTTCCGGGAACACATCCCAATTTTGACGACGGATCCCAGCTCCACTGGCTTGTCGCCACAACTTGTCGACCAGCTTCACTCGTCTCTTCTGACCATCTTTGGTTTCAGCACTTGTCGATGGTTCTGCAACTTGCTAAGAACGGTTCGACAACAGACAACACACGACACACGCAAGTGCCTTCGGTCACCCGACAGAACACCAGACAAAGTATAATACAACATATACCTATCTACGTGTTTATCGGAATTTTATTCCCTCTACATCAAGAGGCACATGTGGGACAAAGGACTCTTAAAATGACAACTCAATTTTTTTTTCCCACGTACAACAACGTAACGGATTAGAATACCACAAAGTTGGCCCCTTGAGATCACTCTGAACGAGAGCGCTCAGCCCAGGTTGTGATGAGGTCAAAATTTTGCCCCGAATCGCCAGCCAGAAACCGAAAGGTTGAGAAGTTACTAGCTGGAACGCACTGCTCAATGCACCTGCATTAGCGTATACCTTTCCTTTATTTTTTTTTTGATAGCGAACGTCAAAGTTGCGCTGTGGAGCAACATGCTCCACTTCAGTAATCGGCCACTTTTAGGCGACGATACCTATGCGGCACCAAGAGCGGCTCACACTTGCGACGTTGCACAGGGAAACAACGATACGGCTTGCTACTGATTGACTCCTCACCGCTTAGCTCGATATCGTGTTCGATCACCGTCGTGTCTCCGGGACGGTCCGACAACACATACCCAAACTCGGAAACAATCTTTCTCAGGTCCTCTTTCTCAGGTCCTCCTTCACTTAAGCTAGGCTCTAGGTTTATCTGCTCCCGGATTACTTTCGATTCCCCTTCGATCACCTCACTAGAACTCAAATTTTCTGCTTCCTCTTCCTCTGAAGCCTTCAACAGCTGATTTACGACCGCTTGATTTTGAACATTGGGTTTCATCAAGTTGTAAATTTTGTTCTGCCGCCTTCCTACTTGCACCTCATAATTTGTATCGCAAGGCTTCGATAATACTTTGGCGGGCCCTTCCCAATCAACCTCAAGCTTGTTCCTTTTGGATGGCTGCAGCCGCATTACCTGATTATCAACTTCAAAAGCGCGCTTCTTCACCGATTCCTCGTAGTGCTCCTTCGACAGCACTTTTGCCGCGTTTTTCTGGCTTTCCACTAGCGCTTCAATTTGGCTTTCCACTAGCGCTTCAATCGAGAGATCCTCACGCTGCTCTCGACCGAGCGTCTCTCGATCAACTCTCGGCAGCTCGCTCCAACTTTCCGCTACAGGCGAGAGCGTTGCAACCCCCTCGCTCTGACTCAATGGCGCCATGTAGTCTCCCCTTTCTACGGAAACCGCGCCGGCCGGTTCGACGACGGGCCGCTCGCGTGACTGCTCCCATGACTCATGCGGAAACTTTCCTTTCTGGGGTTCCGTCGACCCGCCGACAAGGTCACT